GAGGAACCTGATTTTTTCACAGAGTTTCTGTCTTGTGTACTACTGTCAGAATATGGAGAAAATGTCAGCAATAATGACAAAAAACATATTTTCATAAAAGTTACCTACTGCAGCTTTAAGTGTCTGCCTGGCACGCCATTTCTGGTGGATGTAGCAACCACCAAATTCAAACTCCACCACTGCCTGGCCACCCCACACTCATCAGTACTTACAGACTGGGCAGTAGGCTACAGCAGAATATGTGTTGGCACTGACATTATTTCCTTAGTGATTATTGATAGTCTCAAAAGGCATTACAATGTATAGATTAGATTAGATTGTATATATATAGACTATAGTCTTCAAAACTTTGTGCATGTGTTGATATAAGTAAAGTAAAAATTTGGGAGGGCCCATCCACTAGACCTTTTCAGGGGCCCAGCCATGGGTGCTGGCGGTAGGGGTGCTGAGGGGGCTGCAGCACCCCCACAAATCTCACATAATGAAAACCATTAGTTCATAAATGTTTAAACTTATAGTGACTTTCTCCTTTTTTACTGGGATTTACATACGCACCGGTAATGTGGTTTTACCTTATTTATTTATGTTTCATCTGCTAAAACAGTGGTTGGGGACCCCCACTAGATGTCGCCAAAGCTTCGCAGGGGGTCACAATGCCCTCTTGGTTTTAAGGTGTGTAAGAAAACTTGAAAATGTAAACAGTAGGCCTTTATTTAAGAAATGTCTTTATTTCTGTGTTAAGATTATTATTTAAGAAAGAACTTTGAAGACCTGAACACAAACTATATTCACAGAGCCTTCACTGTCTGATAAACAGCCTCATCCTGCGTTACAAAAGTATGCAGTTAAAACAACCAAAGGGCTAACAATGGATAAGTGTCAGGGAAAAGAAAACTCTGAATTAGTCCAAAAAAGAACCCTGTTAAGTATGAATGATTGTTAAAAATAAACAGAAAACTAATCTCTGATCAATATTCACAGGAAATAATCTCAAACTTCCTGCAGTGTGTTCAGTTTGGGTTCATTGTACAGTTTACCAGTTGTTCTGTACTGTTATTGTTATGTATTGAATATAATATGAAAATGTGTCACTTAGTCAGTTTACTCAATGATGGAAAAGGGGTCCCTTGAGGAAAAAGGTTGGGAAGCACTGCACTGAAAATGTATTCAATTTGTATAAAATATTGTTATTAACTATTAAATAGGATATCAATTGACATTCAAATGAATGTGAAACCATGACCATCAATCATTCAGCATTTAGTAAGATGTCATTATATAGAGTGACTTTTTCTCAGCACTCCCAACTCTGACTGAATTCCAGCATCCCTGGGCCCAGACTTATCTGAGGCAGGCCTGCATTATTCCCTGCATCAGCACTGAGCTCAGAGATCTGGTCTCATCTGTGTCCAGGCCGAAGCCTGAAGGTTGAGCCTTGAGTCAGCAAAAGCAAAGACTTGTGCTACTTGTTAAGAGAGAAACACACAGTGTGCTTCCATCAATCATAAATATGACTGTACTTGAAGTGGACCTTTTAAATGACAGACTGCAGCACCCATGTCTATGGACTGTGTGTAGACAGAGGACAGCATTCAGTGTAGAAGATGAGCACTGCAGAGCTGCACAGAGGTCTGCAGCTGATGGGACCGCAGTAGCACTTGGCACAGCTCCAGGAACCGCCACAACCCAACTCGGGCCGTTCCGTGCAGGACTCCTGGATCTTCTCTTTGAAGACACCCCCTTTAGCAGCCAACTGTCGCTGCTCCCCCAAAAACCGCACCCATACTAACAATAGTTCAGCCCTGGCGGCTCGCCTCCTCAGCGCTGTTTTCAATGACACTCCGCCCTGTCCCGGGTTACCTGTCCTAGCTCCTCTTGCGGGACATAATGCGGTGAACAGATGATCTTACCTCCGCTGTGTTCCGGCGGCTCGCCGTGTGTCGTCCTCGGCTCGGTGGAGGTGCACAGTCCGGCTGGGTGTGCTGTGGGTGCTCCGCAGGCTGCAGCAGCGTGTGTTCTGGGAGCTGGATGGATTTCACTGCAGCACACTGATGCTGCGACTTGTTTCTAGACTTGCTGTGTGATGCAGTTCACATGCACGACTGCAGACAGGAGAGCCCGCAGCAGCCTGAGCTCCCATTACGTAAGACTGTACCTTTCTAAACGTGTAAGGCAGCAAACTGAATTATGTTAAGGATGCTTTATTTAAACAAGTTTAGAGTGAGTGTGAAGGGACACTGGGAACTGGCAGGGCCGGCCCAAAAGTTTTTTGGGACCCCACATTTGGAATTTGCCCCTTTGGTGGCCCCCTAGTGGTGATGCATGGGTACTGAGTAGCCACATGTCTTTTGCCTCCAACTGGTGGGGGCAGCATGAAAACTCTCAGAGGTGGGACCACTGACATATAAAAAGATAGAGGTGAGTCTTCACTTCCTCCCACTGTACAAAATGAAGCCAAAATATCTTGTTAACATCTTAGGCCACTCAGAGCCAGCATCTAACCAGTCCTTATTCGGCCGACTCAATCACAAGCAGGGCTCAGCTGTCAATCATGACTTGAAATCCCCTCTTTATAGCTTTAAGTAACTAATTCAAACCAAACTGATCAGAAAATGAACACTTGAATATATATCAGTGAAGTAAGAACTACCTAAAATGACAATAAACAATCTTTGGCTTCACTTTCGGAGGCCTATCACGTCCATCTTTACACGTGACAATGGGATACATGTGTTCAAAGATCATTATACGTATTTAATCAACATGTCACATCTTCTGCTGATCATGTCATTTTCAGATCGTAGCAACAGGTTGTCAACATTAATCAGGCTGAATCATACAAAGTCAAATGATTAGGTTATATTTAAGGTAAAATATCCCAATACAGTAATAATACACAATTCAATATAAAAATGATTCATTTATAAAAAACATGAATGTTCTCAGTAAATCATTTGAAACTATAGGAAAGGGCATATAATGGTAAAGAAGACTATAAAACATTTGTATAGATGCTCTGTGTGTGTGTAGCACGAAGGTGCTCACAACTTACATTTCATTGTGCAACCCTGTGTTGTACAATGTCAAATAAACGACCTTGAGTCCCTAAAATGGACAGACATCCTCCAGAGAGGGGTTCATAGCAGCCTGCCACTTGGGTGATGCAATGTGTGTGAAAGTGGAAACGGGTTTAAGGGTTGGAACAGAGAAAATATCAAGTGCTCATTAAAAAGGACTTGAATTCGTCCCTAGGGAGCACGGATATTTACAACATTACCACAACCTGGACAATCTGACCTGAGGATGGAGCCACAGGAAACGTCCAGAGGGTCACCAAAAACATCAGGAGACATCATACGGGGACATTGAATATCCTCAACAACTCTGCAGTGATCTATACCGTGTCATGGAACTGTTTGCTGGGCAGAATGACAGACACCACCATGCAGAAACTGTGTCACTGTCAATGGAATAATTGCTGAATCTGAACCATTTCTGTGCTGTACCACCAGCGCAGAGCAGGTGAATCCCTCCCACCGAAACAAACGGTTCCCTGCATCTCATGTGACTGTCAGTATGAAGGAAGTGAGTTTTTGAAGCTATGAAAGAAAGACAGAAACTTGTATTCTAATGATTACTGAACTCAGGGATTTATAAACTGATGATTCGAATCATCGCCATTTATCAAATTTATAAGTGAGGGTAGACGTCGTCATATTAAAAACATTTCATTTTACAGTTTAACAGCAGCACAAACTGCAAACTGACTATATTGTGGCTAAATGATTAAACGTTTCTGAATTAGCAGACTCTAGAAAGCATCAAAGTACAGCCAGTGAGCGCCTATAAAGACAACTGTTGCTGTTAGCTGTAAATAATATAAATATTGTAACTTCAACATCAAACGCCTGGCTTCTTGTCTGGTTAATATACTCTCTGCATGTCTACATTTGGGTACGCTAAAGTTGTGGGGGAGCTGCAGACAGCCAGCATTAACCAAAAGCATTTAAGAATTGTAAAACGAGATTGGCATACTCTCTGTGAACACCTTTCACAGTAAGACAGGGCAAGATAGCCAGGCTAGCCATATCTCAACACAAGGGTAGCAAGGGTTATTTTCCGGACAGGATTACAACGGTACAATAAATACACTTAAATGTATAATATGTCATTTCTGCCTCTATGCGGTCTTTCACATCAAAACAAAACGAGCAGGCATTGTTTCCTGCAATGGATAAGTGAAACAGTGCAGCCAATGAAAGCAGCTCAGCTCCCAGTATGTCACCTGTGTCATGGTGACAACCATAAAGCCAAACTTGAGGCTTCAAATAGGTACTCTACAAACCAATGGGTGATGATAGATTCACACTTGAAACAAACCTATAATCTTAAAATAAAATGACACAATAAAAGCTGGACATAAACACCTGAATGTGAAAAACATACATAATACATAATAAAACACTGCTTATAATATAGCCAGAGAGGAGCTACATTTGACTAAATTTAAGTTCCACATAAGATAAGCTTAAATCCTGATTGAATCTAACGTTTAAATTATGTTGTATGGGAACTTAAAATGTTTGGGTGTACCTAAATTATGTGCTAGTGCAAAAAAGCTTGAACCCTGTTAATTATTGCCTTAAATCATTCAGTCAAATATAGATGCTTGGGTTGGTGGCCTGAACCTTTAGGATGTAATGCATTGGTATTTGAAGACCTGGGAATGAGATTCAACAATCAACTACCTTTCTTGGCTCTGATTGGTTGTTTTTTTATTCAGGTTGATTCTTACAAATGCCATTAGGA